TTTTCAGCCTAAACTGGATGTCATAATCCCTCCAACCATAAGACGTAGATGAACGCTCTGCACCTTTTCTAATTGTTGCCATATAACGAAATAAATTTATAGCTTGTGCAGAGTGCTTGGCGCAGTAAATTGAAGCAAAAATTAAAAAGGCATCAGTCTATTGTGAAATAGACATAATTTTTTTCATCTTTGTGCTTTGGTTTAACCTGAATTAAACCATCAAGATAAACAATGTGATGCTGTATATCTGAAACTGGCTCTTTGATCAAAAGTTTGCTCAGAGCAACATACTCGTTATTCCAATTTTTTTCCTTCAATGCTTGAGAGACATGAGCACCAAGCATTGATGCTACACTCTGGAAAGGTGTAGACCTATCTAATTCAACCATGCAATTTATACCTGCTGTATTGCTAGTAGTTGGCACAGGCAACTGTGGCTCCACTGTCTGTTGGGTGGGTACAGTCTACACAACAGGAGTAAGGATGTCTGCAGTCTCGTAGACAGGCTGTAGTGATACTGGCTGAATAAGCGGTTCTTGGCTGACCATGTAAGTTCTTGTTGGCACTGACATAGCTGCCTGGGAATAATGACTGGTGGCTGATGTCGTTATGATGGGTTCAATGGACGTCGAAGCTACTGTGGATGCTTGAGTAGTCACCGTGGAGGCTACAATACTATGCCCTGTGGATGTCCTGGATACTGGGCGGGCATATGGACTTTTGCCCTTCGATGCCCTGGTTTTATTGGCTCTCAACATGGCTCGAAAACAAAAGAAATGTTAATTAAAAAATAATTAATTGTAATATTCCTATTATTTATTTAAATATAATGCAAGCACAAATTACAATTCATAACAACTAAACTTATTCCTGTCTTTTATTTATTTATTTTTTTTTTATTTTATTTTATTTTTTTTATTTATTTTTTTTTTGTTTATTTCCAAAATTTATTACAATTTATTGTAGCTAAATAAATTAAACTTTCCCTTGTCGAGTTAATTAAATAATTTTCTACTCCGACTCATTTTTTCATGGCTGACCTATGAGCAAGGTCGAGAACATTTTCCAAATATTTAATCTGATAAATCGTGACTAAAAACCCCTAAATTTTGAAATAAATCAATTCAATTCATTGATACCTATTAATAACTCATTAATTAAACAAACTTTCTTTGACTTTCTCTTCGTGATGCCTTAGATGCAAGTAATTTTTTCTTCAGTTAAATTTTTGGTACCAGCAGCTTTTTTGTTCAACCGGAAAAAGGAAGTTTTCCTTGCGCATGCCCAGTTTAATGAATGTGACTAGTAAGAGTTGTCTATCTTTCTATACTGACTACTTATGTGCTAAAATAACATAGTTTATCCAGAGGAGATAAACTTTATTAACTCTCCTGTATTACCTCACGCTGTTTTTTTATTTATTTACCTTTACTATGATATTATCATTGTTTTGAACCCTCGAAAGATAGTGCTATTTAGAGGAATGACATAAGAAATCGAACAATTAAACACGCAACTGATAATATATATGCAACCCTTTTTACGTTTTCTATACCTAACTGTGTAGAATGTTTTTAATAGAGGGGTGTTAATCTATATGCATGTGCATATTCTTGAGAGTCTAGCGTAATTCTGAAAGACTGATTTTTTTTTTAAAAAGATTGAATAAATATTGTTAATTAACACATTACTCATCCTCTTTTTATAACGTTTTAAGCATCCAAGCCACACTGAGCTGCTCTCTAATGAATATTAATGAAATGTCGAAATGAGGATGCGCCGTATATTATGTCGATGTTGTATTCTCACTTGTACAGTGTTCGTTTTTACGTTTGTGTAATTTTCTCATTATATCGTGTAAATATTTTCTTGATTGTGTAGTTTTAGTATAGTTTGGGCAAATTTCAATAACTTTGTGTGTATTTTCCGCACTAAGTGTAAGTTTTGACTTGCTCATGTAATTTTTGTTCAAGGTCGTGCAGAAAATATTTTTGAACCAATCGGCGTGCCATAAATCAAATCTACGAGGGCTGTTCGGAAATTATTGAGACAATTACATTTACTCCATAAAGGACGAAGATAATTTCATGAAAATTCATCAACATCTTAAAAAAAAAGACTAAAACACTTAAGCAAATTTTCTAATTCTTACGATAATTACATAAGTTTCGGTGAAGTAATAAATGTACATATGTCTATCGATCCGGAGCAGCTCGCGACGTCATTTAACGTTACGTTAGCCGTAGATTGTTTCGTATGTGAAACGATTGGGAAGCCTTTAATACTCTTCCTTCTTCCTTATTAGATATATAACTTTACACAATTCAAACATTCTCTTTTCTTAAACTAATCTTTAAAAATATATGCTGTTCCTAACCCAGTCAAAAATGTACTTTTATAGGAAAGGATGACTTAGAATCATGCAGTGCCAATTTATGCAAGGCGGGTTAAATACCGTAACAATATCAATACTGTCTTTTAATTTTTATCTAGTTAAATTAATTGTTTAAAAAATTGTAAACCAATGAAATAGCAAAACCTTAATCATCATTTTTTTTTCTCGTTGTTACTGTTTTAGCAGGTCGTTCAGTCTTGAAAAGAGTTCTACATTACGCTACACAAAATTTTAGGTATGATGGCTGCTCCGCCCTTGACGCCAAAATTAATTTTTTCGTTGTTAGCAGATTTTTCTACAGCGCTTAATTTATTTATGATCTCCGTATTTCTGATCAAAATTCTATCAAATTTTCACAACATGAATTTGAACCAAAGCTGAAAAATTATGAACACTTAAACTGAATTATTTTTGCTCTCATTATGGATCCACGAAGAATTAGAATTTTGTGGTTACATATTTTCAATATCTAATTCCGTGACTGCTCCGGGTACCCCTACTATTGAAACTTTTATATACCACTGAAGAGAAAATATTGAATATTTGTAAAATATTTCTTGCTCTTATTAATTTTTAGTGTATGTCAAACGTATATGCCAATTTTCACTGAAAGACGTTCATTAGAATGCAAAATATTCACAATGTCTCAATAATTTTTGAACAACCCTCGTAATGTAAAAAATTGTCCTGTGCAAATCTCAGAAAGTAAGTTGAAATGTCAATGAAAGCCCAGAGACTAAAGAACCTTATAGACACTCTGTTATGTGATATTAAAATGAAGCAGAGATCTTTTATGATGCAAAGATTAAATCAAAAGAATAAAATAATGAAAGGACACCTTGCCAGCATAGAGAACTATGATCACAGATTTGAACATTAGCAGAAAAGCCAGTAAAATTCCTCTCATTTCTGAAGAAAACCCATGTCTTAAGGACAAGTGTACCCTACTTCTTACACAACATATTTTGTTATCCTTGACTGAAGAAATCAACTTGGATGATATCATCAGGCTAATAAGTGAAGCCCAAACCATAGGGACTGCAAGAAAAATCTGAGAAATAAAGATCTGATGTAAGTGTTGTCTAGGCCCATGTTACATAAATCTGTCACAGTGAAAAATGTTAGAACTGTAAGGCACATTTCCCGTGTGACACCAAACAAGGTCTGGGTCAGTGATATGGACAATATTATGTTAATAAACACAGAAGGTGATATACTATATCGTCTGAAAGTTTTTGATGTTTCAGATTTAAAGTGTGTACAAGCCGTGAATTTGACTAGTGAACTTATCTACACTGAACCAAACTTCTAAGTGTTCACCTAACATTTTTGAAGTTTTAAAAAACAAATGCAAACATTAAATAAAATTCTTTCATTCTCGGTTAATGATGCATATTTAAGTTGGATGTTGCGTAAATTTCATGAAAGTATCTCGTCAGAATTTTAAGCAAAGTGTCAAGGAAATGATGTACCCTCAAAATGAAAATTCACACAAAAAAATCTCGATTGAGTAAGACCTACGACTCGCTCTAAACACTACAAGGCAATCTTTATTGTTGGAAACGAGATTGGTCTATCTGCTACCTCATCTACATGTACTGCATAGATCTTTTCAAACCATTGAAAATTGTGAGGAAAAGGGGGGGTGACATTTCTTTTAAAATCCCAATTGTTTTCAATTGGATTCAGATCCGGGAATTTGACAGTGTATTGTCACACAAATGCCTTTTGGTCAATATCCTTGGGTGTTTAGTACGTACGTGCACCGCTTTAAGGATAATTCAGACTGCTGGAGCTGATATAAGACTGCTACGAGAACCGATTTCCTATAATTTTCGTACGATTGAAATGATTTGCTTTCATGTTTCTAAGATTTTTCAGGACATTTTTACATTCTTTTAACTTGGTGTGACGTGAAATTTTCTCCCCAGAAGAAGATCAAAGTCACTTCCGGTGTGGTAAAATTTTGTCAAAAACTTTCAAATTGTGATAAATTCGTGATGAAAAATGATCACAGCCTGTAGAAAAATGTGTTTAAATGGGTTGTGATACTGTTTGATAATTTTTAAAAGTAATATCAAGTACAATTAATCACTAAAATAAAAGTGAGTAAAACGTGGTATAAAGATGGTCCAAATATCAACATTCCAAAGGCCCTACCTTCTTTCTGAATGGTCATTATGTCAATGTTTTGTGTTTTTTAGTGAAACCAGTTTTTAAAATTTGATAATGATCACAAATAGATGCTTATTACACAAAACACGTGCCACAAAGTACAGATTTATTGTTTTTAAGCTTCGTCACGGAACATAGGTTTTCATCAGTGATATTGAATTTTTTTTCTAAAATTGTTGAGAAGACTCATTTGATGTAATAATTTGAAAATATCATACCATTCTATAAAGTAGTTTTTAAATAAAAACATTTATTAAAGTGAACACTTAGAAGTTTTGTTAAGTGTTTATAGACTGGTATGGAAACATTAACACATTATCCAAAGATAGCAAAACTATTTCTACACTGATAGAGAAATCAGAAACATGGGAAACACGTTGTGTATTCTGCTCTCCTTCCAATGGAGATTTACTTGTACATATATGTAGTGATGTATAGAGGTGATCCTATAGAAATGGCCATGGTAACACGGTATAACGACAAAGGACAACTCATACAGACAGTACAAAACAGACTGTTTAGGAGACCTAGATATATCACAGAGAACCGTAATGGGGATGTTATTGTGTCTGATGTTGACCGTTTAGTGGTGACAGAGCGTGGAGGTGGACATCGGTTCACCTACACAGGACCTCCATCAGGATCAGGACTTGCACTTCAAGGAATCTGTACAGACGTGATGTCACATATTCTGGTGAGTGCTAATAACACCAACACAGTGCAGATGATTGACAAAGATGGCCACTTTCTGTCACTGATATTGACACCACAACAACTGATAAGCAGACCAGTGTCCTTTTTTATGATGACAAAACTCACCTACTCTGGGTAGGATTTTTGTTAAACAGCTTAGTGTTTGTAACAGATACATTGAGAGAGAACACTTAATCTGACTGGTAACTGCAATTAGTACTAGTAATAAGATACTTTTTCGCACAATTACATGATGAAACGGGGCATTGAAATTAGGAGAAGAGCTACATGTACATGTTAAAGGTTGCTTGAACACAAAATTAGACGCATGTTAAGCATGTTAAGTGATATTATATAAATTGTTCGTATTTTTTTTTTCGTAAAAATAAAAGCATGCTTGTCACTTTACCCTTTTCCTCAATTAAAAAAAAACATCATATAAAGCTTGTTTGGATGCTGGATGTCATTTTTTAACTTCCTGTTTCTGAAAATTTCTGCAGTTCATAATTTGATATATACACTGTACCAAAATATGCACATTGTATTCTCTGTATCAAAAAATGCTTGAACCATGTATTTAAAAATTACGATGTATACGTTCCCGTATACCAACATATTATGAAATATGACTTTTTCATATATGTATCCCATATAACATCAAGTGTCCATCATAAATCATTTAAAAAAAATTGTCAAACTGTTTACACCATTTGAGAAACTCTGAAGCAGAACATGAAAAAGTCAATTGTTTGACCTCATCAGCATATGACTTTGTGAAATTGCAGGCAGAAAGCATAATACACTGTTACAGTACTTTCAGAATGAATTGTAATACACTGATGTTTCATGCAGTAAAACGAGCATTAACCACTGATAACGAGAGACAAATCTTTGCATTGTGAGGTCATAAAAGAGCGACACAAGAACACAACCCCCTTGACGTATTTTATTTAACAAAACTCTACAAAATAAGATATAAACAACAAACAAAATGCATAGATTGCCTTATAATGGGAATAACTATCTTTTAATTTGGTATTTGGGACCGTTGTTGCTGATTTAACGGATGTTAACATCTTTTTTGCCGGTGAAACATTGTTTGCGAGCATTAAACCAGCATTTACGACATTGGCAACGTTTTTAGCTTTCGTATAGAACTTTTCAAAAACTTTTGAACACGTTAAATGGTACCAAACATGTTTAATTCAGGTCCTTTTAACCCATCAAGCTAGATATCCTTAAAGTTAATTTTTTTTCAAATCAATGTTTTTACAATTCTCAATGCATTTCTTACGTAAAATATTGATAAAATTGACCTATATTATTTTTAACCATACGTTTTCTCTAAAACCCATTTATTTTATAAATTTTATAGATAAAATACATTGTTGTATCCTCATTTCCGATGACATGCATATACTTTGGCTAAAAATGCAAACATAGAAACAAGACACATGAAATACCAGCACTGTTCTATAATTTTGAGTTGCTTCCCTTCACACCTAATTATTATTCTTAATGATCAAGAGACTGGATGTTTGTTTCTATTCTATAATTTACTTTATTGGAAACAAATTGTAGTAAAACATTTTGTCATGGATTTATCATTAACTTTAATTTAATGGTGCTTCCTTCATATAATCTATAGAAATGTTCTCATTCGGTCTTCCTAGCTATCACCACTTTCAGCATAATTATGTAACATCTTTGCACTTCTCTGCATGTATGTTCCTATTCTAAATGACGACCTTTTGACTGCCTACCCTCTCAGCACAATGTAAAAAAAACCATCACTGCTTTTCTTTTTTATTACTATAGAGTTGAATATATCCGATAAAAAACACACGTGGTTTTTTTACCTCTCAGTCTGTAACATACGCTTTATTTGTTTTCACCGTCTAGAGAATTCCATACGGGAGATTACTCTCAATGACTGTTTTCATAAGTGAAAAAAACTTATGTATTAAACCTTTTTTTCTCTTGAAACCGTGCTTTGCCAATGACCTTAACGGTCACAAGTACCACATTAGACGACAGTTATTTCCTAATATATTCTTTTTGAATTCAAAGTCATGGGTCAGAAACTTCAACCTTCACAAAACGCTGCCATTCTGGAGCATCATTGCTTCACAAACAAACATCTTGTTTTCTAACTGTTTTCCCAATTGTTTTTTTTTTTTTGGAAAAAAGCACTGTAAATGATCAAATATAAGTGGTCATCAGATCCTTTAGCTTTTCTACAATAAAGTTATGCCTTAAGACCCTTAAGACATTAACAAAGATTTGGTGTCTCTACGATCTACGGTTTCGGAAGAGTAGCGATAACAAGGTTTTTCGCACAAGGGGCAATAACATTTAAAAGGGTTAATCTCAGAGGACAGGAACAAAATATTTGAAATAGTTTTACGAGTACATATTAATGATGCAAAGACATTAAGTAGATGTTGAAAGACAAAAGAGGTATAAAAACGTTTTATTTCTCATTTTTGGAATGGCCTTGAACTTTGACCTTTGCATAATTTTCAAGGTCAAGGGTTAATAATTCTTATGCAGTTAGTCCCATGTCTCTACGACTTCTCATTTTGAAAATTTTTAATTATTTGTAATATTCAAAACCTCTCAGGGGCATTAACTCATCGAAGGGGTCAACGAAAATTTTCGCAATGATAGAGTGAAGAGTTATCTAAATTAACCAAAGACATTGGTGAAGGTTTTGAACTTCTGCAATTTATGGCTACGGAGGGGTAGTGATAACAAGCTTTATGTTGAAAGGGACAATAACTGCGTAAGGGTTTAAAGTTCTAACTTCTTGGGTCGTTTTTCGGAATAACTAAGTATCCAGTATCGTGAGCTATAAAGTCTTACGGTTTCAAAAGCTAAGGTGAGAAATAAAATAAGACACATAAGCATTTCAAGAGGTCTTTCCACAGAAAGGTGGAAAGACCTAATAAACATACTTAAACTTGTAAGTACAACATTTCACTCAATGAAAAATATTTATTATATTAAAAAAAAAACCACTTTCATCGTTCTGTTACATTCTTTCTTTTCAGTGCATTTGAAAACTAAGCACAAAAAATTGTTAGACTTCTATAGTTACATTCTATGATTTCTATGCATTTTAAAACTGAGCACAAAAAATTATTAAGTGTTAGACTTCTATTTTTACATTCTATCAAACGAATTTAGCATAGATATTTATCTTTCAGGACACCTTTTATTTTAAAAAATTATTTACATATAAACATAAAACAGAAATCCATTCCCATGATGTAACTAGGTTCATTTTATAAGAAAAGTTGGAAAAAACTCCTTCATCAACAAATACATGGGCGTAGACACTTTTGACATCCAAAGCTGTGCGGAGAAGAAAATGCTACCTGGCGCGTGATTGGTCAAAAAAGAAAAGACTTGTTATGTGTTTGAAGTGTGAAATAAAGGTGATAAAAAGACCAAGACTTGGGCTTTTTTGAGATATATATATGTTACAGGTAAAAATGTGATGGAAGGGATGCATTTTGGTTTGAGCTTTTCATTTGGTGGTGAACGAACCTTGTTGTAAATTAAACTAATGGAATTTGAAAGTAAATGTTCAACGGCACGGTATATTTTTTCTGAGATGTTTTGTTTTCAAGAATATCTCGAACGTTCACGGCAAATAGATCATTTTCACAAATTTCAATATATGTATCAGTAACAGGGGCTCAAATTTGTATTGGATTGTATGGGAAAGCATTTGGTGGCGTTTGTCCAGTAAACAATATGGTCTTTGGAAATCTGAATTGTTTCGTGTCAATGATTTCTGCCAACTGTTTATCTAATGTGCCCAATTTCTTTTAATGTAAGTGTGAAGTATTCAAGATGACAAAAAGACTGTCTCTGTTGCAATTCATAATCTGGATAAAAGTAAAAATATGAAAACTTTGACAAATTGATTTGTGTTTTAAGACGTTATTACAGTCCAAAAAGGTCGTATTAATTGCTCTGTGGTGCTAAATAAAGCGCACTAACCTCAATTTTTAGTTTTTAGTTTGTATTTTAGTATAAATTCAAAAAAAAAATATATTTGAAAAAAAAATTCTGGAGAACTTGGCGTTATATTGCACTGTAAAGTCCGAGTCACACTGTCACGATTTTAGATCACTGTAAGCTACGATGTAGGGATCCGTGAAAATCTCAGACATCCGCAGTCAGTCTGTTATTATCACCGTAGTGAGCCCTGTCAACTCGGATTACTCTTGAGCGAACCATAAATTGCTACGACTGTTTTGAACTGTTCAAAATAGTCGTGGAAAACGGCGATGCAACTTCATTTCTTGTGTATCATATAGTTATCCCGTACTGTATGCCTACCATCACCGTGTGACCACCGTATAAACTTTCGTGATGTTTCGGGGTCATCCATGACACACTGGTTTACGCTTACTCAAGAATTTCGACAACTGCAGTAGGAAAATATACGAATATACAAAAGATCCGTAACTTACCGTAAACCTCGCACATTTGGTCTCGGTTGTAGTGGAAAACGACAAGGAAACAATATAGAGACTCAGGAATAATGGCGGCGAACCGTACTTACGGCAGCAATAAGGGTTTAGACGTCTTATCACGTGCTTTAAAGGCAATTTTACGGTTGGATACGATAGCTTACAATTTTTCATTTATTTATTACCCATTTTTTTACATTTTTTTCTTGTCATTGTTATCTGTTGTTCATAACTGTACGGATGACCATGAGCACAGGATTTAGCTTCTAAATCTGCACCTGTAGTTGAACAGACAGAAAGCAAAGAACTTCATTGTTGTGGCACAATTTTTGTATACATATACAAGGGAAGACGGAAGAAGGAAAAGAAGACCAGTTTGGGTATGATGAGTTAAAACTGGTGTAACCTTACTTCTTGCATCAGGAGACAATTACAACTCATTTAAGTACAATTTCAGAGTTTTTCCAAACACTTTTTCTCAGGTACCCGTGAGATTTGTAAAGTCATCATCCAAAAATAAACCGAAAAAGAGAGGGTCTACCCATCAACCCCAATGAATGAAAAACTAGAGGTACTGTGAGCAATGAGCTCACTAAATGATACCCCCCGCCTCCCATAATGTCGATGTGTTGCTATATATTGTTTTACGGTA